AAAAAAAAAAAAAAAAAAAAAAAAAAAAAAAAAAAAAAAAAAAAAAAATCAAAAGGAAATATTACTGGGGCTGGGGATTTACCTCAGTGGTACTACCACCTGCCTCACAAGCCTAAGGTCCCGAGTTCAATCCCCAGTACCCCACCCGCAAAAAGGAAATATTACTAAGAGTAGAAATACCTAAAAATTTATTCAATATAAACACATATTCATCCAAAGATATCTGCTAGAAACATGTGTGTGATGGTGCACACCTGTAATCCCAGTACACTCCAGGCTGAGGCAGGAAAATCACTGTCTCAAAGCAAAAGCCAAAACAAAAATGAATTACATATTTCGGGGTTGGAGTGTAGCAGTGGTAGAGTACCTGCTCGGCATGTAAAAGCCCTGGGTTCAATCCACAGAATTAAAAAAACAAAAAAAGGTTTGCATGGCACTCTTCACCTACCTTGTGTCAGTTTCAGATTTATGTTTCATCTCCATGATTTCCACCATGAACAGGTCAATTGATTCATCTTTTTTTCTAATGGCCAAAATGGAATCTACTACAGCCTACAATAGATGTACAATACATTTCATTTGCAGCAGCTGAAACACATGTTCTGTACAAGTTTAAAGATCATTTCCTCGTTTTTAGAATCTCTAAATGAATCTTTTTCTATGTGTGAAAAAATATACTAGAAATTAAAGGCTTAAATCACTTGCATTTTTAAAAATCTCTATTTGTGGGCTGGGGATTTAGCTCAGTGGTTCCTCTGCCTGCCTCACAAGCCCAAGGTCCCGAGTTCAATGCCCAGTGCATGCACGTGCGCGCACACGCACACACACACACACACACACACAATCTCTTTTTGTATTGTCTCCCAAAATCAATATCCCTCTCCACTATTTAATTTAAAATACTGGCAATTATATTTACAATTTTTTTTGTTGTTTTTTGAGACAGGGTCTCACTATGTAGTTGAGGCTGACCTGGAGCTATGTAACCAGGCTGGTCTTGGAACTCACAGCGTTCCTCCTGCCTCAGCCTCCCACAGTGCTGGGATTACAGGCATGCACCACCATGCCTGGCTATTTACAATTTATTATGTAAAGAAGTAGAAGAGAAGCATTGAGGTTCCCAGTACAAAGCAATGGTAAATGTTGAAGGAAACACGAATGCTAATCACCCTGGATTTGAGCAGTATACACGCACACAAATTGTATCAGACATGTATTAGATTAACACATACCTGTGTTAGGACATCTGCAAGTTCAGCATGAACTTTAGTACGGAGAGATGTTCTGGCCACATCTATAAGTGTTTCCCTGTCCATCTCTCTGCTTACTTTGACTTGTTCCAAAAACTGCAGGGCCTTTTCCTTTGCAGCTTCAAAACCTTCAGTAATTATTCTGGGATGAAGACCCTAGAGTCAACATACAATCACAGAATCACTACTAAAACCTGCCCTTTCAACTAGATCCAACTATAGCTCCTGATGGTTTAGATAATTTTTGAAGGGGTATTCTGGGTCATGCACAACTTTTAATACAATTTAAATATGTGCTGTCTTTCTGAATACATTTAAAAGGAAAAAACAGTCCTTTCAACGCAGAGGGAAAGAACAGACATTACTCTAGCACAGAGTCAAAACCAAGGGAACTACAAAGCACACTTGGGTGTTCACTGTGCGTGTCACCAGATAATACCAAAACCCTAACTGGGGTCCCAAATATTTGCAGTCAATGGGAAAATTTTTATTTTTATAGGTAACCTTATTATTTAATCTTATTATATAATAAATGTCACTGTATATGTTATATAATCTTATTATATTAAATTCTTATTATTTAGTAATAAAAATAAATGGAAACCCAGACTGCTTTCTCTTTCTTTCCAGGAAATTCTGAGAGTAGATTAATACTGCAGTCTGCTTCAAATTTAGAATGATTCCAGGCTAAAAAGTTGCAGAATTCTTATTTAAACATTTTGTTGGATCTTTTACCTACCTATAAATATGCCTAGCCCTGACCTCTAGATCTCAATCATATATAAAAACCAACTTGATAAAAAAATTTTTTCAGAGCATGGAAGGTTCCCTCTCTTGTCCAAAATCATGAAAAACTTGTGTCAGCTTAGGATAAAAAGCCAGGGATGTAGCTCAGGGCGTAGCGCCTACCTGGCAAGCACAAAGCCCTGAGTTCAATTCCTCGTACCAAAAAAAGAAACAAACAAACCAGCAAGTTAGGATAAAGACAGTTTTCTAGACTTATCCCCCCACCATCTTTACATTCTACTGTGTGGCCTGGGTTACAATTAACACATCAATATACACAAGTAACAGGTATTTTCTACACTTAATAACACAGAAACGAGAATTATGTATACCTCAGAAATGTAGAGATCTGCCTGTTTCAGCAGCTCTCCAATGATGAGGACATTGGAAGTAGTACCATCACCAGTTATATCATCTTGTGCTGTTGCTACTTTTGCTATTAAGGAGGCTGTGGGGTGTTGAATTTGCTGAAAGGAAAAAAAAAATATGTAAATGGCCAGTTATAGTGGTGCACATCAGCATTTCTGCACTCTGGAATCAAGATCATGAATTCAAGGCCAGCCGGGGTTACACAGTGGCCTCAAGGCTGGCCTGACTACAAAGTAAGATCCTAGCTCAAAAGTCAGAGTGACTTCAGTGATTTAAGACATATCTTGAGGACTGGGGCTTTAGCTCAGTGGTGCTGCCACCTGTCTCGCAAGTGCAAGGACCCAAGTTCGATCCCCGGGAAGAACCACTGAGCTAAACCCCTGGCCCTGAGGAGTCCCTTTAAATGCTACCTACTATTCCACTATTATGTTAAGAAAATAATTAACTATCTCACACATCAATTTATTATGACAAATCGGACATGGGGGCACATGCCTATAATCCCAGCACTCAAGAGACTGAGGCAGGAGGCTCACTGTGAGTTGGAGACCAGCCTGGGCTACATAGTGAGTTTCAGTTCAGTCTCAACTACATAATAAAACCCTGTCTCAAAAAAAATAAAAAATAAAAAAATTACGACAAAAAAAGATCTTGTACAAATTTCTCAGATTTCTTCCACTTTACTGATAAGGAAAGCTGAGGCTCAGTTAAGGTTTACAAAAGCTGACAAACTAACAAGCATATGACAAGTCTAGTGGTTGTAGGAATAAGCCAAGTATCTTTTACAATAAAAGCCTAGTAGCCAGAACAACTTGGCATTGACCAAATAATTAAAAAGGGAAGCAGGCATAGTCCTACATGCCTGTAATGCCTGTAATGTACTTAGGAAGCTGAGGCAGGAGGACTGTCTTGAGTTCAAGGGTAAACTGAATGAGAATGTCTCAAAAAACAAAACAAAACCATACAAAACAAAAACCAAAACCACAGGGCTGGGGATTTAGCTCAGCGGTTCTGCCACCTGCCTCACAAGCACAAGATCCCTAGTTCAATCCCCAGTATCCCTCACAAAAAACAGGGCAACCTATTGGGGACCCCTCCTGTCTCTAAGGAGTTATCCTTACTCTCCAATAAATTTTCCTACTTTTTTTTTTTTTTGGTACCAGGGATTGAACTTGGGTCCTTGCTCTTCCACGGTAGGTAGTGGAACCAATGAGCTAAATCCCTGGCCCAAATTTTCCTACTCTTAATCTCAACTCTGATCACATCCTTTTTTGGATGCCAACTGCTACATTCTGGGAGTGCAGACACGAGTGAGACAGTTGCTCATTGCTAACAATTTGTTCTTGAAACCTAGGACATTAAGGAGGCTTATTTCCCCTGCAGCTAAAGGTGGAGTCATGAAATGTAAGAATTGCTGTTCTTCATTTTTGTATGTGTGGTGCTGCAGACAGAACCCAGTTCCTTCCACAAGCTAGGTGAACACTAAACTACTGGGTTACAAAGCCATTCCCAGGAGAAGGACCCCCTTCTCTCAAAAAACGAAAAACCCCAACCTGTAACCTCCTCACCCTTACTTTCTGGGATTACAATTCACTTCAGTAATCACGAGCCTTTTGCTTGGTTAAAGTTATTTTCCGATCTTCACCACTGCTCATCTTTTTTGGGGCAGACTGAGCCTGGCCTGTTAGAACAGCCGGGGCTTTTGTCCCCCAACTCAGGCAGGGTTAACACTTTAACCCTGACTGCAAAGGGCAAAAGAGCAGGGCTTCAAAGGAAAGTCTGTCACACTCAAGGGCCCCGCACAGGGTTCTACTGAATCATTATGGGTCACGTAACTTTGATGCTCCTTCCACTGACTGAGATTACTTGATGAGAAATCTGCGAAAATAATTTTTTCCCACCTTGAGGATGAACATTAGAAATTTTTCAACAAGTCAAGCAACTACAGGAAATTAAATCCTTTTTGACGTAACACGTCAGCCCCTCACCATTTCGTGAAGCAGCACATTGCCATCTTTAGTCAGCTTGATGTCTCCAGCGCCAGAAACGAGCCTGTTCAATGGGCAGAAATTGACGAAATCAGAACGCGCCGTTTTCAGTGGAAACCTAAATACTAACCCCATAAAACGTGGCCTTTCCCCAGATCGTGGGGAGCGGGGAGGGTGGCGCCTCCCACCCGCGCCTTTCCTGGGGTCACCCCCAGAACGCGGGGGAGGTCCCCGAGGGCGGGGAGCGCGCACGCGGG